ACAATATGCATGGACACTGATTCATCACAGCAATGACGTAGGCAAAGAGACCTCAGTTGGAGGAGCACAGCCTTTCCCTTTCATAATGGGGACTCCCTTTCAGCTACATGGTTATCTAACAGGAGTATCTTCACCGTCCTTTTATACACACGTGGACATGCACTCCACTTTTAGGGTGAAAGTTTCCTTCTTTCTTTTAAGTCAATGTTCTTCTGACTTAATGTTTTCCTATTTTTAAATCACATCTGAGTGAAAGGATTGTAATCAATGAGTGCTTTAAGGCTGTACTGCCATCAAATGCCCCCTGCCCCTCCCAATTCCTCCTTTTTTTCTCTACAGAGCACCTGAAATACAAAAAAGAAAGAAAGAATGCTCATTTACGGTAAAAAATATGATTAGATACAGATTGACTTTTTCACAAGGGACTTATAGAAACCTGTCTTATAGCTGTTAAAAAATCCAAGGGCTGCCTTCTCCTCTGCCACAGATACAGTAAAAAGTACTTGGCTTAGAAGCCTTCCCAAATATGAATTGCCCCATAAGTATGGATCTTTTGTATTAAAACCCTGCATTGCTCTTTGGAAGCAATTTCACATAAATTATGCAACCCACACATGAGATTGCCTCAGACCACTAAGAACAGACTTAATAAAGTACAAAAAGCAGAACAAGAAATTGGCTCATATGTCCATTGGTAGTCATGGAAGCATTAATGTATCCAGGTTGCCACTTGTGAGAAATCCCCAAATTTCCCATTAGTGAAATACAACTTTTGTGATTCCTACTAATAGTCTGTCTAACACATTTTTGAAGATAATCACCTTTAATGAATTTCCAAATAATTTAGTGAATTACAGTGTACCGGAACATTCTGTGCATGTAAGGGAATGTTCCATAATGACTATGCTTAGAAAGGGATGGCACAGCCTATACTCAAATGGTGCCATCAGCGGTATAAATTAGGGAAAAGAAGTGAATGGCACTATAAATATGCAAGAAACTCTTGACTGGGGGAGGGGGGGAGAGGGAGAGGAGGCATTTTAAATGACCCACTGACCCTGAGAGCTATTATGATTGGATGAGATCTCATTTGCTCTTCTCATCCAGAAGCCATTCCTTCCATCAGAGCAATACCCTGTAACACACTGTGGAGTAATTTGGAGTTTATACTAACTAGAAAGTCTCACTTGTCTACTAATACCACTTCTTGTAGCACCCTTGTTTTCCTTACAAGAATTCCATCCAAGTCTACACAGGCCTAATCTTATTTACCAGGAAAAAAAAAAGAAAAAAACAAATCAAACAAAACCAAATCTTTGGGAGCATGGTTAAAGGAAAATAAATTTAAATTACATTCTCTCTCAATAGGAAGATAAGAGATTTTTAAATGTATTAACTTTTTATCTATAACTATTTTCTTTCTCTTTACAAAACTTTTTTTCCAAAACAAATCACTAAATAAAATCTTCTTCATCTGCATATCATGGAGCAGTACCAAGATGGCTAGCACAACTTTATGTTAATTACTGCATTATTATGGCAGTTTTGGACTATGATAAAGGATTAAGGAGCAAAACTAACTGTGATTAGTAAAATGACAACCAGCAGACTTTGATGTCACCAATTCTACTCTGGTTGTCTTTACAAATTATTTTAGATAGTAAATGGGCAAGGATTTTTTTGGTGATTTCTTTTATTGGACCAACTGTACAGTTGGGAGAGATCTTAGGGCCCAAGCTATCCTTCCTTAGGTCTGGAAAAGAAGTAGCCATAGTTTAAGCTAAGTAGCTGATAGAACCACTGCTTGTGTAAACTTCAGGTTGGCATATTTGGGGTGGCATCTTTGGGCCTATAGCTGTTCCCATCTGAAGCCATGGGTCCTACACATGTTTATCCCAGAATGTGTCTCTTTCATTCAGTGCACCAAATACCCTCACAGAAACCACAGAAGTAAAACAAGACAAAACTGTGCTTCCGAATGAACAACCACAAAAGACGATAAAGGACAGAGACAAATGAACACTTTTCATAGACCGAGTACTTCTCTTCGGACCTCATAATCTTCGCCCCAAGGGTAATATGCAAAACACTTTCAAAAGGGAAGTACTAGTTTGCCAGAGGAGTGGAGACCAAAGCCCTGAGGCAAGTGGGGAAGCAGGTGACCTGGAGGAGGCAAAAGTGGAGGGAGTGATAGGGGAGGCCTTCTTATTCTTCCTGAGAAAACAGGACAATCATCTGGTTACCTCAGGTGTCTGTACACAAATGCACAGAGTCTGGGAAACAAGCAAGAAGAATTGGAAGGCATTGCACAGGTAATGGAACTGTGACATGATTGGAATAACAGAGACTTGGTGGGACAGCTCGCATGACTGGAGCACTGTCATGGATGGATATAAACTCTTCAGGAAGGACAGGCAGGCAGGGCTAGATTAATGCATAGGCAAACTAGGCACATGCCTAGGGCCCTAAGTGAAGAAGGGGCCCAGTTGTGCCTATTTTACATATTATAATTATCGAGTAAAAAAAAAGTAGGGCCCATGAGTTTGTTTGCCTAGGGCCCAATAAGGATTAATCTGGCCCTACAGGCAGGGGAGAAGAGGAGCTGCACTGTATGTACAAGAGCTGTATGATTGGCTCAGAGCTCCTGTATGAAACTGCAGATAGGCCAGTTGAATGTCTCTGGGTTGAACTTCTAGCAGAAGTTCCCTGATCACAGGCTCTGGTTCTCACGGGGGACTTCAATCACCATGACATCTGCTGGGATACAATACAGCAGTGCACAGGCAATTCAAAACATTTTTGGAGGGTATTAGGGACAAACTTCCTGTTGCAAGTATTGGAGAGGCCAACTAGGGGTTGTGCTCTTTGTGACCTGCTGCTCACAAACCAAATCTGATCAGTCTCAAACCTTCCTCACGTGCATGGATGAGCTCTATCTGTCTCAAGAAAGTCCCATGATATCCTCATGAAAACATTGGGCAACTGCAGCCTTGACTACACTACAGTCCAATGGCTGGGGAACTGGTTCCGAGGTCAGACCCAGAGAGTGGTAGTTGATGGAACTGAATCAACATGGCACTCCATGACCAGTGGTGTCTCCCAAGGCTCCGTTCTCAGATCTGTACTCTTTAATATCTTTAGAAATGATCTGGACTCTGGTATCAGAAGCAGACAGGCCAAGTTCGCTGATGACACCAAACTTTGGGGAAGAGTATCTACACTTGAGGATAGGCTGGTGATCCAGGTCAACCTCGATAGGCTTGCAGGGTGGGTGGATGAAAACCTAATGGCATTCAATACAGAGAAATGCAAGGTGCTTCACTTCAGAAATGCCCCCCCCCATCACACTTATAGGCTCAGAAATGCTACACTCGCTAGCACCATGACTAAGAGAGACACTTGGGGGTCATGACTGACCACAAGATGAACATGAGCCACCAATGCAGCACTGCAGCTGGCAAAGCAAACAAAACTCTGGTTTGCATCTACTGATGCATCCTAAGCAAGACTCAGGATGTCATCCTCCCCCTGTACTCAGCCTTGGTGAGGCCACAGCTGGAGTACTTTATCCAATTCTGGGCTCCACAATTCAAGAAGGATGTGGAGAAGCTTGAGAGAGTCCAGAGGAGAGCCACGTGCATGATCAGAGGTCAACAGAACAGGCCTTATGAAGACAGGCTGTGAGCTATGTGACTCTTTCAGCATGGAGAAGTGCAGGCTCAGGGATGACTTAGTGGTGGCCTATAAGTATATAAGGGGTGTGCTTCAGGATCTGGGGGAACACCTGTTCACCAGAGCACCCCAGGGGATGACAAGGTCCAACTGTCACAAACTCCTGCAAGTCCGTTTTAGGCTGGACATAAAGAAAAACTTTATTGTCCAAGCCCCTAAGGCCTGAACCAGACTCCCCCCAGAGGTGGTGCAAGCACCTACTCTGGACACCTTTAAAAAACATTTGGATGCTTATCTTGCTGGGATCCTTTGACCCTAACTGACTTCCTGTCCTTTGGGCACGGGGCTGGACATAATGATCTTACGAGGTCCCTTCCAGCACTAATGTCTATTAAATCTATTACTTCCCTGGTGTAGCATGGTGCTAACAGCAGCTCATTGCAGTGGAGAGGTGGAATGGCTACTCAGTACCCCATCCTGTGTGGGCCTCGCTGCTGGTGGCCATGGTGCCAGGACTGTGCAGCCAGAGCACCAGCAGGAAGTTAGGTGTGGAGGGGGAATAGATACAGGGTGAGTGGACAAGTCTGCTTGCTACATGGCACGGCTGGACCCAGCCATAGCTGTGGCTGTGGCACAGTGGAACAGTATGTGGCACAACCCTCCCTCTTTAGGCTCCTGGTGATAGCTGGCGGGCTGGATAGGAGGAATTACCCTCCTCCACCCAATCCCTCAGCAACTCACCAACACTCCTTAAGAGGCCCTCCAGCCCAAATAATTGTCTACCCCTCGTCTAGGGCTACTGAACTGCTTCAGTAGATACAACATATTTTGTTTCACTTATTCTTTGTGCATGTGCTGTAAAAGCTAAATTCTGCATAATTGTTTCCTTGTTTACCAAGGAACCTGAGACAAGACCATCTTTCTAATGGTTGAATGCCACTTGGCACAGATGGCCTTATAGCTTAGATTTCTCGTTATTAGTGGTGCTGGCTCAAATCCAGACCAATTTCTTTTACTTGCTAATACTGCTGCAAACATCTGTTTGTGCTTTATATCAGCCTTTTGATTCTAACGTCAAGGTTCAGAAAAGATAAAAGCCTGCATTGGGGGAAAAAGTTGAAGATACAGAGAAGGCACTGCTACCTTCAGGTGTTTATTCTGACTTCAGTGCTATCTTTTCCCTTATCTAATAGTGTTACTTTATCAAATGAATCAAGGCAGGCTTAATATGCTGAAAAATATCTAGTTTTAAAGAATACAGTTAAGTATGAATGACTGCATCATAACCGTCAGACCAGAAGAAATGAGAAAGACTTGGGTAGACTTACAGCAAGAGAGAATGCTTCTGTGAAAGCTGTCTGATATGCTTCAGGCACTCTTTAGTTGGCTCTTCAAGGTCATTTTTTTCCTCCTCAGGCTCTGGTTTAATGAAGTCCAAATTAGTTTCTGGAAAGTCAATCTTAAAAGCAAGGGAAAGGACGGGAAGAAAAGAAAAGATACTTTATATATTAGGAGATTGTACAAAAACTTTCCAAAATCAGTACCATAACTAAGGATGCATGAAAGGTGTACCAGTCCCAGATGCCAACTTAGGAGAGGTGCCTCACCCCTGTGGAGTCCATGCCCTGGCAATAAAAGTAGCCCCATAGGGATGTTCTTGCAGCAGTAACCAGGTGTAGGGACACTAAGCTATTGCTGCTGCTTTAAGAGCAAGAGCTGGGGTTGGGCAGAGCATGTAGTGGTGGCAGCAGCAACAGCTGCAGCAGCCAGGGACTAGATAACTCTTGGGCTCAGAATTGTTTAGGATTTGGTTGGAGGGATAGGTGGATGTTCAGACTTTTTTTGTTAAACCAGTTCAACCTGCCCACCCTGGTTTTAACACCTAATTGGCACCGTGATAGCAACATTCTCCGTGGCACCAGAAAAGTAGTGTTTCTAATCAGTATTTATGAGCATTCACTCTCTCCAATACTGTTAACAAAAACTGGTTCCTAGAAAACTCCAGGGATGTACATACTAGTCAAATTTTAAAAGCTAGTTTTTTAGGTAGCATTTCTAGTACACTCACAGCATCTGCTACTGTCACATAGTCTGAGAATGGTGGCAAGGAAGGACAGGATCTTCCTTTCCTGTTTCTCTGACCAGAGAGACAAATTTTAAATTAGTAGCCATTTACTGTCTTGCCTCCCTTTATTATTAATAGGAGAAAGCTATTTCAAGGTAGTTTCTTAAATGCACTCTTCTGACCAGCAAATCCTGTTTCTTATCCATTTAAATATAAGCCAGCTTCATTTATCCATTCAATTTAGCTTTGTGTTTCATCTGCTAATGTTGATAATTCAGTGTTTTAATATGAAAAACTTTTGGCTTTGCCTATAAATACACAGTTGCTAATTCAGTCTGGAAAAAAGACAACACTGGAGATGCACAAAATGTCTTTTCAATATTTGGAAGCCATATGCTGCCCTTGATTGCACACAGCTGATATTGACATCAGTGAAAACTCATCATGTTGACTGGGATGAAGAGCAGTATAGATATATATATATATGGCCCTTTGTTTCTAGCTCCATCCCCCATAGACCTTTCTGAAGATTCAGTTAATTGCTAGTTGCATGCTATGTATGTAATAGGAAGCAATTCAATAGTACACAGAATAAAAGTGCAGATTGAAAAGGCCACTGTGAGTCAGGTACCACATTAGCTATTTGTGCCTTGGGTATTTTTGAACATAGAATAAAAATAATAATTTTCTCTGGGCAGACCTTTCCCAATCCCACAGCCTTTACTAAATCTAGAAACTACCATGTGTAGTTGCTGTTATGTATCATCACACTCTCCCCTCACTCTCTAAAGGAGTTATATTATTGAAGCAGAGGCCTCTCTTCAAACAGAAGAGCAAAGATTTTTAGTTGCTGTGATCTGGAAGAACCATGGACTCAGACAATATTTATTTTAAAGATGCTTTTTGTCCCAAAGAAATCCTTACCTGCAGTGTGACTGGTGCTGGTAAACTTGTGTTACAGATACCCGGTGCGAGCATTGTTGTTGGAAGGTGATTGTACAATGCCATGCTAAGCAACACAGTTCCATGAATGAACCTTCTGCAAATATTAGCAGACAGAGTAGAGGACAGCATCAGTACTGGAGAGAAGGTGAACAGGTGTTATTGAATAATGTGGGAAACCTAGAACTTAACGGCTGATGGAAAAAGTGACAGGACATAGAGCCTTTTATCTCTACACTGTCAGTACAAATTGGGCCCAGTTGATAGTGAATGATCATAGCTCATTGCTTCGGAGTTTGTTGCTCCCTGGCACACCATTTGTTTGTGTGCCCAGGAGGCCCCAGGGATCAGCCTACCAGCCTGGGGCTGCTTCAAACTGGCTCAGCGTGCTGTGGAAGGTCTGGCTCAGGCATGAGCAAGCAGGCAGGCACTCACTTAAGCACCCTTATCAGAAGGGACCTGAGCAGATCATCAAATCCGACCCCCTGCTGTGGCAGGAAAGAGTACTGGGGTCAAACGACCCCAGCAAGGTGTTTGTCTACCTTTGTCCAAAAGACCCCCAAGGTAGGAGCCAGCACCACTTCACTTGGAAGCTGGTTCCAGATCCTAGCCACCTGGACAGTGAAATAGCGCCTCCTGACATCTAATCTGAATCTACCCTCTGCCAGCTTGTGACCATTATTTCTAGTCACTCCTGGTAGTGCTCAGGGGAACAGGGACTCCCTCAATACCTTCTGGTCCCCTCTGACTAGTTTGTAACAAGCCACTAGATCGCCCCTCAGCCTTCTCTTGTGGAGGCTGAACAGGTTCAGGTCCTGT